GGGATTCAGGGCTCCAAGGGTGGTCACGGTTGAGGCTTCTTGGGAGCGGCAGGTCTAGGGGTTAGGCATGTAGGGATTCAGGGTTTAGAATCTAGGGGTCTAGGGACCAAGGTTCGGGCTTTAGGTTTTAAAGTTTGAGGGTCTCCATTGGTGGAACATGCACCGATCCTACGATGCTTCAGGAAACTTTGAACCAGCTTTACCCAACTCCAAAAAGAGTTCACAACTCTTACTCGTGAAGCTGCTGCATATCAACTTCCAAAATTCCCCCTCCTCATCAGGCCCAAATCCTGCATCATCCACCGGATACCTCATGTAGTCCGTGCAAAACCCTATGCAGCCTTTCGAAACACGAGAAGTGTCCACCTAAACCTAAATCCCTGAGTCCTAAACCCTGAACCCTGAACCCTCAAACCTAAACCCGAAACTCATGGTAAAGGCTGCCCACCTACGATGGTGGGCAGTGCCCATGCCCCAGCCACCTCAACGCAGGCCGACATACCTGGACCTGCCTCAGCACAGTTGCAGGAACTGCCGGCTCTCCATGTGGCCAGTACTGGTCCCTTGTAAGGTGCCCTAAAGCCCACGGTTGTTCCACCAGCTCCAACCTCCCCGAAAACACAACGACCAGCAGCTTTTCAGGGTCTCCGCAGGGGCCTCCTATGTCCCAGAAGAGCCTAAATGCCCTGGCCGTTCAACTGCATGCCAGGGGCCTCCGAAAAGCCTCCGGATTTGCAGATGGCAGGCTAAGCAAGAAGTTTGGCCGTAGAAAAACGTTGTGTTGTTGACCAAAGCGGACCTAATTGAGCTTAGGCCCTAAAACCTAATAACAATAGGTTTGGGTTGTTTGGCCGCCTGGGACGGCGTCGGGTGAGGGTATGTGTCAGATGGCCAGCCGTGTCGCACAGCACGCCACGTTCGAAGCGACTTTGTGGCATGACCGTCTCTGTTTCAGCGCTATATCACGGCAAAACCTAAGCCCTAAACCCTCAACCCGAAATCCGAAACCCTAAACCCTCCTTGCCAAGAAACACAAGATAGGCCAGGAAGAGCAGCAAGCAGAGCGCCAATTCTCGAAGCCCTCTGCTATTCGAGCTATAATCTAGGCGTTTCGACGATAGCTGATTTGGCTCTGCTGAAAAGGCTTGGGGGCTGTGGTTTCGGGGGTTCAGAAATCATGGTTTTGGCTTCAGATTGTTGTGTCATCACATATGGATGCAGACCCAAGTTCATGACGTCAAATCCTGAACCACCTCGACCCTGAACCCTAACCTTTTCTCCAAACCTAAATCCTAAGCCCGACAACTTGATTTTCAAAATGGTCCATACTTAAGGAAATCTTTTGGCAGAATTAGGCTCCAAAGACTTCTTTAAATTTCGTGGCTTTGTGTATGGGGGAAACGGACTACGTGTAAAGAATTTTTCGGGGAAACCTATCCTGATAGTAGAGCCAAGCAGGTAGTTTTGAAGTACATCTACTGCAAAAGCATTGCCAGCTGCTGTCTAGTCAGTCTAATCTTCAAGTTTGTAAATTTAGAGTTGAAGACAGACTACTTTCCATTAGAGTGGGACCGAAGAATGATTGTTTTTCATCCGGCACCCCTCATTCCTTCTTCTGGGGGGGTCTCCTCCAAATTAATCAAGTGCTACTAGGATTAGACTATAGGCCCTACACCCTAAACCCTGAACCTCGCACCCTATGCTCCAAACCCATGATCTCCCCACCAGAGCCTCGCCCCAGGCAGCCGCCCAGCAAAGTCAGAAGAACCCAATCGAAGGGCAGCGTGCAAAAGCAGGCAGCCATCCTGTGCACCCCTGAAAACGGTGTTTGTGCGGGGTTTGGGGCTTACAGTTTTGGATTTGGGTTTCAAACCATAAACCTACGGCTGCAAGGTTTGAGATTTACCCTCTGGAATTTTAGGATTTTGGTTTCAATGGATTTTTCCGTGGGATTGGGGTTGACGGCGTGTGATTTTGTGGACCCATCTAACAAGTGCTAGGCCTGAGGTTCGTGCTTATCATCTTCACCATTGCCCGGGCTATGTTATGCTTGTAGGCTTCTAGCAATACTCACATTTGCTTGCCAGATGTGTTCACGTACATGCTCCCGCTCTGACTGTCATCATTCAATGGTTTGTTCATTCCACTTTAAGCTACTGTTGCATTAAAACTGCCACGTGGACAACTATCCTTGCTAAGCTTCAATGCTCTCATCTCGGGAAGCTCCAGAACCATACACGAGAAAACAAACCCTTAGACCTTGAACCGCCCAAATTCCAAACGAAAAAGCAACCATCATTGTCCCAGTAGCCAATCCATGGCGCTTGGGGCTGGTGGCATGGTAAACGTGGACAGCGGAAGCAGCACCTGATGTGGGTTCAAAGGTTTAGGCGAACAGTCAACGTCTTTGGTTGTTTGGGAATTGAGGGGATTGGCATGCGACATTTAGCGTTTACGTGGTGCCCGAATAGCTCCTTTATCAAAATTCATGCGATGTTCTACGTGGCATTTGCTGCGATAAACTGTAAAAATCTGACCAAACATATGACTTCTTGAGGTTCAATTCTCGGAGCAAACGCTTCATGGCTACGCATGTTGAAGGCTTAAGGTTAAGCATACGCGAACTGAATGCAAAAACAGCACACTGGACAACATGAACGCGGAGCCTGAGGAGCCGCTGTGACTCTTTGCACTTTTTTTTCTTTTTTTTTCGTGGGTTTGCCTTGAGCACGATCCTTATTTCCTAGCACAAAATGTGATTTTAGCGATGACACCAAAAAAATATAAGAGTAAACGGAGCAAAGTAAGTCATCAGTGATAGCTTGGCATACCTCATATGATTTGACCAATGACGAAGCTACTGTATCAAACTTTCCCTTTCGCATGCGCGTGAGGAATTCACGAGCTGTAAACACGTCAAACACAATCATCTCGATCTTTTAGAAGAGTTTGCTCGTAACTTCCGTGTTGTCCATCTACCCACTGGGAACTCAAAGATAACTTACACGTCGAGAATCTGCCATGACCTTGCAATCGGCTGAAGTATGATTTTCAAAAAGCAGAAGCCTGAAAAGCATTTGGCCATTTGGGTGCTGTTCCCTTTTCCATACGTCTCTTGCACACACACACACACAAAGGGACCAACAACCCAAAATCTTTACGTCAAACCAGAGCGGAAGCTGTTAAGCCCTCTTGTCCGAAGCCCTACCAAGCGGCCTTCTCGCCGTAAGGACAGGGCAGGCCATCCCGACTCCATGCTGGATCGCATGGGTTAAACATGCTCGCAATTCCTAGTGCGAGTGAATGATGCCAAAATTTCATTTCCGGCACTCACAAGTTCAGCCTGCATAATGTCAATCATGAGTGAAAACTGTACAACCCGCAGTCACATCGAGACCGCAAAGCCAGCAAAGCGAATCTACACGCAAGATCCATCAGCTAAGTCTCATGTTTCTTTCTTGCTGGTCTACAACGACGCTCACAGAAGCACGCTCTGTTAGTTGGGATTGTTGCTTCTCGTGCTGCAATTTCGCGTGGCTTTGCGAAGCAGAATCCTTCCCACAAAAAAATTGGGATTGCGACAGCAGCTCACATGCGCCGCAGATGCAACGGGCCAGAAACAAACGTCCACATTTGCGCGACACGAGCAAAAGCCTTTTGCCATGACACGGCTCAATTGCCAAATGTCGAGTCATTGCAAGTTGTCCTCTGCAAAGGATGCAACGCTGTCATCAGCAGAAGCAGACCTTGGCTTGAAACATTTTTCGTCGCCATGGTCTCCAACAGGACATGAAACTACGCTCGCTGGCTGTTAGTTTCCCTTTGCCAAAGCAAGGCGCTACATTACTGACAGAACTTACTGCATCTAGTTTGAACTGTCAAAAGCACTTGTCAAGAAGCAACATGTATTGAGTGTTTCACAAAGCATAGTAAACAACACAATCCAATTGCCGCAGTGCTGGTGTTTCGCAACTGCAACGAAATGATGGTTTGGCACATGCTTTGGCAAAGGTACTCACACCCCAGGGGACGTGGACCCCGCCAGCACGAGAAGGGCAATCTCATGGTGATTGACAAACATGCACAAACACCTTGCCTCTCAAACTCTAAAATTGCTATCACAATCAAAGACTGAACTCACTCATGCTGCCCTGCCCGACCTGGGGCAAAAAAAGAGGGCGCCAGACCGAAGTCTGACCCTGAGTCACACGCACGAAGCTGGACTCAGGGCTTTCAACGCCCTTAGTGGCTTTGGCAGGAAGCAGGCAAAAAAGAGCCACCACCCTAGTATGCTAGTAAGGCTTACGTGAAGGGGAGGATGGAAGCTTTTCTTTGCCGCCTCCCGGACATCAGGAAGCCACTTACGACCTGACGTCTGAACTAATTTAGGGTTTAGGGTACACGCGGGGCTTTCCCCGGGCGCGGCCGTAGCCATCAGCTCGAGCCCGAGGCTGCGGAAACAAGAAGTGTTTCCCATGCCACGCTCCTTCTGATGGAGTCCATACAGCGCTACAAACCTGGCTGAGCTGTCAGACCCTGTTGTCAAAGCCTTTTGCTGCTCAAGCTTGCAGAGTACTTGAGGCCCAAGTGAAATACCAGCAAAGTGAATGCAGGAAAGGAAAGGTTCCTGAAACAAATTCCGGGGCGGTTGGCTTTTATGAAGCCAACGGAAACCACCGAAAAGAAAAAACGGAACCGGAGCGACCTACTTGCTCTCCAAACTCTATCGGAGGAGAGAATGATTGAATGTAGCAAAAGACAACATGGGACCATGAAAAACATGCCTTGGCATGCGCAAAGTCCCAAGCTGAAAGTGCAAGAGGGATTCAAAATCGGAGGCCTGAACCACACTTTTGGGTCAGACCTGCACTCTTCCAGCTGCACCAAACTTGGCGGTTTCCCTAAATTAAGGGCCCCCAATATAGACCCCAGAATACTCTGATCCTCATTATAGAGATCCCCAGAAAAATACACCTAATTTTGGGAAACCACCGCTTTGCTCAAATGAAGAAAACGTCATCTTCATCGAGCTCCTGGCTTGCGCCATCAAGTGCCTGATTCAACCTCGGCGTTGCAAAGCGGGACCCTAGGGAAAAAAGGGTTTCGGGTTTAGGGTCAAGGGTTTAGTTGGGTTGTTAAAAATTGCAACATAATATGTGAAGCTCCCACATGGGTTTCAGGCAGCATGAACATGTCGACTCTCTCCCTCTCTCTTATTCCTTGTGTCATAGGGTTTAGGGAACCGCTTGAACGTACACTCTTCGGGTCCAAACCCATACATGTTCTCAGTGTTGAAGCAGCCATAGACATCCGGACAAAGGCTTCTGCTTCCAAAGAAACCTGCAGCCGTCAAGCCCTTGCCTGGCGGTCACTATACCCCAAACCTTCAACCCATATCCGCTTGTGCACTTCATAAATCCGAGTCAAGATACTAAACGCTAAACCTTGATATCTAAGAACCCTCAGAATCGGTGTTTAGGGTTTAGGGCTCCCCAAATCCTAAAAACCGTGAAGCCCTACAACCCGAAACCAAAACACCTGAACCATACACCTCCAAACCAATAAACCCCAAAATTACAGAAGCCCACTTTAACAACCAAACACGCCTTCACCGTAAACCTTTAAAACCCGACTCTATATATGTATATATACATATATCAATGTCTATCTCTCTCTCCCTGTAACCCTTATGTACGCCCCATATACCCCCTATATATCCCTTGGCTCCTAAGCCCTACAAAGCCTTAAGCTGAGCAGCCCCTAGACCGTAAATCCTCAACCGTAAACCCTAAATCCCCAAACCCTAAATCCCTAAACCCTGCTACGTTCCTACGTCTCGCCGGGTCTGCGAGAGGCTCGAGTGTAGGCAAGGCACCAGAATACTGAGAATTCCGTACGAGATGCGTTTAGGGGAGCCCGAAGAAGCTTGGTCACAGGTCGTTTTTCCTGAAAAAACACGACCCAATCCAGGGTGAACACCTTAAGGGAACCGGAAAGATTGCGCATGGTGACGGGCTTCGTACCCTTTCACTGGACCTGCTAAGCCACAAGTTGCAATAGGATTTTACGTGTTGAGATGCTACCAACGCGCAGAATTTCGCATCTTGAAGGGCCAGAGCTGCGTTGCGGACTTGGAAGACCATAGTCTTGGGAAGGATGCTCTGGTGACCGTATGCTTTTGGAACACGGACGGAATTATGGTTTGTGCACAGATGCTCTGCCAGCTGCAGGCTCTTGGAACACGAACGGAAATATGGTTTGGAAATGAATGCTCTGGTGACCGTATGCTTTTGGAACACGAACGGAAATATGGTTTGGGCATGGATGCTCTGGTGACGGTATGCTCGTGGAACTCGAAAGGAAATACGGTTTGGGCATGAATGCTCTGGCGACCGTATGCTCTTGGAACACGAGCGAAATTATGGTTTGGGCATGGATGCTCTGGTGACGGTATGCTCTTGGCGAACGGAAGTTTGGTTTGGGCATGGATGCTCTGGTGACCCCATGCTCTTGGGACATGAACAAAATTATGGTTTGGGCATGAATGCGCTGGCGACCGCATGCTTTTGGAACACGAACGGAATTATGGTTTGGGCATGGATGCTCTAGTGACAGTATGCTCTTGGAACACGAACGAAATTATGGTTTGGGCATGGATGCTCTGGTGACCGCATGCTCTTGGAACACGAACGCAATTATGATGCCGGGGGACTACATTGAACTGAGAGCAGGCTGCAGATGTGGAGCGCGCAACCGCGTGAGAATCGTGAGCATGTCTCAAGAAGAATTGTAGAATTCTGCGCGTTTCGTGGCACATCTGACGATGCTCTATACTCGGCGAGACAGGTGGTCGGAGGGCCAAGCCTAAACCCCAAACCCAAGCCTTTAGCCGAACAGCCAGGATGGCGGAAGGATCTTCGCAGCCAGATCTGCTGCAGTGTTATGGCGGTCGTTGCGGATGTCCACACGTGCTCCTGTAATCGGGGGGGGGGGGTTGGTTGCGTTTAGGTTGAAGGTTTAGAATTTAGGGATTATATAAGGTTTAGGATTGAAGGTGTAAGGCTTCGGGTTTAGGATTTAAGGTGTAGGATTTACGGTTCAGGATCTAGGGTGTAAGGTTTAAGGATAAGGGCTTCGGGCTAGGGATGTATATAAACATACATATATATATATGTGTCAATCCATCTACAGTATTTAGGGGATACAAAAGTTGCGAATCAAATGGAGAATCAAATATGCACCCGAGGTTTACGGGGAACAGGGTCGAAGGTTTGGGGTTCAGGGCTTAGATGATCCAGGGACTACATAAGAAAAACTGAGACATTGAAGTTGAGAATTAAGTGACACCAGGGACGATATAGGGGTTGTATGCGGGATTTTCTTCGGTAATAGTATGTATGATCTGGGTAGCCCCCAAACCCAAAAATAATCATGTGATAATCTTCGGGTCCTTCTTCGGGGGCCACATGAATCTCACAGGGTCCTTATTCTGAGGGGTGTGATTGCCAGAATTCTGTCATTGTCGTGGTTCAGGACTGAAACCTACAGGGTTTTTAGGGGTTCTGTATGCGTTGCATCGGGCTTAACAAAATAGTCTATTAAAAAGAGATATGGGTTTCAGGTATAACGTCTAGATGTTTGCCCTTTTCCTAGTGGCCAAAATAACTAAAAGTCTTTTTTTGTGAAAATCAAATGGAAAACGCATGGAAACTCGAGGCCTTTCAGGGGTATGTACGGACTGAGGAAATGCGTTTAGGGTAGTTCTAACGCAAATATACCTGAGTTATGGTTGGGACATAACCTTATAACGGCCAATCAGCAAAAGCCCAGCAAGCCCAAACCAAGAGCCAATGTTTCAAGACCAACTTCCAAAACCAGAGGTCCTGGACTGTTGGAAATGTGTGTCCCTGAAAAACCAGCTGGAAACCAATAGGCACCTCGTGGATTTTTTCGCATGTCACTTCAATCATGTCCGATGACTGTATGGAGATGGGCACTCAAAACTGTTTTGCGGGCTCTAGCTGAAGCCAAGGTTTTGGAAATTATAGTCGGTCACCACCACCGCCACCGCCACCNNCACCACCACCGCCGCTGCCGCCACCCATTCTGACCCCTTGACCCCACCCCGAAAGCTCGAAATGGCCGAGCTGGAGATGGTCCTAGGATTTCCCCTTGGTCCATGGTTTGCTCAATTTTTCTCGTGGTTTTGAAATGAGCAGAAAATGCAGATTGTTTTTTCTTGGTTGGTTTTCGGAGTTTGGCCCCTGGGGCACTTCAAGCCGCACCAACCCAGATGTCCTGCAGCCAGCAAGACAGAGGCTGCTTCCAGGGAGCCGTTGAGGATGCTAAACCTGAGCTAGGGTTTGGGGTTTAGGGT